ACTGAAGAACTGATGCTTTTGAACTGTGGTGCTGGAGGAGGCTCTTGAGAGTCCCCCGGACTGCAAGGAGAACAAACCTATCCATTCTAAAGGAAATCAACCCTGAGTGCTCACTGGAGGGACAGATCCTGAAGCTGAGGCTCCAATATTTTGGCCATCTCATGAGAAGAGAAGACTCCCTGGAAAAGCCCCTGATGTTCGGAAAGTGTGAAGGCAGGAGGAGAAGGGGATGACAGAGGATGAGATGGTTGGACAGTGTCATCGAAACTATGAACCTGAAACTGACCCAACTCCGGGAGGCAGTGGAAGACAGGAGGGCCTGGCATGCTCTGGTCCATGGGGTCATGACTAAATGACTAAACGACAACAACAGCTCCATTGTCATTTCATAGCATCCTGGACGTATGCATTCAGAGCTTATTGCTAACTTAAAAACAAATAATTGTAGTGTAATAATAATAATCCTGTACCATCAAGTAAATCGTGACTTATGACAACCTGTTTCGAGAGTTTCCAGATATACAAAGCTGGCTTTTGGGGGCACCCTGGGTCTGTACAGCTTGCCCACGGCCACACAGGCTGGCTGTTCTTCCAAGAGACACAGTGGGGAATTGAACTCTCAACCTCTGCCTCCATAGCCAGGTACCTAACCCAATGAACTATCCAGGCAGCTAAAGTGTACTATAGATAAGCATATTTTTTGAATTGTATTTTCTTCTTACATCCCTAACATAGAAAACTAGAAACACTACAAACCTAACAATAATAAACAAAAAAACATCCTAACTAAACATTCATACTACCCCTATGGATCAGAGATTTCACCATTGTCTGGTCATCTAAGTATTATCAAAGGATTCCAGTGAGAACTGATTCAGTATAAACTACCGTATATTTTACTCCATAAAATGCACCTTTCCATAAGACGCACCAATTTTTTAGGAGAAGAAAACAGGAAAATATCTGTTTTCTTCGTTCGCTCCATAAGACGCACAGACTTTCCACCCCCTTTTTGTGGGAAAAAAGTGTGTCTTAAGGTGTGAAAAATACGGTAATTCTTCCCTTAAGTTCCTGTCTTCTTCTGGGCCCAATTATATATCAGCGTCCAGCTTTCCTTTACAAAGTGTCTCGGTTGATCTCATGAAAGCATGTCTAGTTCTGCAATGTCCAATAGCTTCTTTAATAACGCATCATTGGTGTCTTTCCAATATTCCATTTTTGGGCCCAGAGTAATCTAGCTACAGTAA